CTCCGTGGCATCCCAACAATTATTCCATTCACACACAGAAGAAGGCAATGGCAAACCACTTCTGGATCATCTGCCAAGAACGTATATGAACAGGTCCCAGTCCGAGAAAAGGATGGAAGGATCCTGTTCATTGGGACCTGTCGTCAGACAGAACACTACAAATAATAACCTAAGAAGAACCCCCCTCGGTCTCTGCCCTTCATTTAAAATAAGTTATAGGGCTCACACAGCTGACCTTGCTAAAGATAAGATTTGAGGTTGGCTCATTGGCATCAAAAACTCACCTGAAAAGGCGCCTGCTGCTAACTTCTGTACGTCGCCCATGTGACTGAGACTGACCCAGGTCAAATTGACGAAAATCTCTCCGTCCTGCTCCTCCTTGCCAGCAATCGGAAACCGAACGTCAGTGATCGGGTTGTTGTCGAGGTTGAGCCACCGCAGAGCAGGCATCTGGAGCCCCGTCAGTCCGGTGGGCACGCTGTGCAGTTGGTTGTGGGACAAGTCCAGTGCCTCCAGAGCGGTGTAACCCGCCGTGGGGAACGAGGTCACCACGTTCGACGACACGTTCAGCACCTGCAGAGTAGTTGTGTCAGTCGCATTTGTCGTGGATTTCAGCCAGGTTACCGTCTATCCGAGCGGTCTAGTGGTTTTCCTCAGTCTTTTCAAATCCTTACCTATTCACCATTACTACTTATCATTGTTTTTGCATGTTCAACAACATTTAACTTGATTTGATGACAGAAGAACTTGGCCTTTTAATCACGCATTCGCGTTATGGACCTTGTCTGAAGAGCTCAATTTAAGGGCACATTAAATATCTGGATGGTAATTAAGTGAGCTTTCAGTCTTAGTTCTGAGCTTGCAAAGTAATTTTGACGCATTAGTAAATTAGGCTAGCGAGTGTTATATTTCAGGAGACTCTTTCATTATCCCAATTGAATCCTTTACAGACCTATAGATAGGTAATTATTTCGGGATAAGAATAATGCGTTTTCACGGCCAGTGATCTCTACATTGAGTCCCCTGACAGATTTAAGTAAAATTTAACGTACGGCTATTATGTAAGTTTTGAAGTCTGTTCACGTAACTTATCTGAGGGATATTTTAATTAAGAATCTAAAAGAGCCTTTATGAATCTAAAATTCTGTGACATATTATATTTAACATGTGCAGTTTTAGTAAATATGCAAAACAGTAATTTTTCCCGTTGTTTTGTATGGGTGCGAAACATGGTCTCTCACTCAGAGGGAGGAACACAGATTGCAGGTGTTTGAGAACAGGGTGTTGAGGAGGATATTTGGGCCTAGGAGAGAAGACGATGGGGCGTGGAGAAAACTGCATAATGACGAGCTTAAAAATCTGTACTCCTCCCCCAATATTGTCAGGGTGATTAAGTCGAGAAGAATGAGATGGGCTGGGCATGTAGCGCGCATGGATGGGACAAGAGGTGTGCACCGGGTATTGGTTTGGAAGCCTGAGGGGAAGAGACTGCTGGGGAGACCTAGACGTAGATGGGAGGATAATCTCAGGCGGGATCTATGGGAGATAGGAGTTGAAGGAGACGATTTTGTTGGCCCAGGACAGGGTCCGGTGGAAGGCTTTGGTTAATTCGGTGATGAACCTTCGGGTTCCGTAAGCCCTCTGGTTGGTTGGGTCCACTATTTGGGAAGCCTGAGGGGAAGAGACCTCTGGGGAGACCTAGACGTAGATGGGAGGATAATCTCAGGCGGGATCTATGGGAGATAGGAGTCGAAGGAGACTGGATTTTGTTGGCCCAGGAGAGGGATCGGTGGAGGGCTTTGGTTAGTTCGGTGATGAACCTTCACACACGGTAATATCTCACCTTGAGCCGCGAGCCATTTACTTCCAAGGTCTGAAGGTAGTTCCTCTGTACATGCAGTTCCTGGAGCCTCAGATTCTTCAGATTGTCCCCCAGCTCTTGAAGGGCATT